AAATGTTACTCTCCAAATTTTAGTTTGCCTTTCATCATTTACGCAGACGCATCGGCATACGCTGTAGGAGCTTGTTTGGCTCACAAGATGAAAATAGTGTAGAACACCCAATAGCCTTCGCTAGTAAAAAGTTGACCGAGACACAAAGAAATTACGCTGTTATTGAAAAGGAAGCGTTTGCCGTTATCTTTGCCCTGAAGAAGTTTGAAGCTTATATCTTTCAGTTCTGAGATAGTCATCGTTAGTGATCATAACCCTCTCAGATTTCTCACCGAATGTTCTTCACAAAGTTCTCGTTTACAACGCTGGTCTTTAGCATTACAGCGATTTCATGCAGTGATTACATACCGGAAAGGAAAAGATCATATTAATGCAGATTCGTTATCTCGATTGACTGCCTCTCACTGGAAGCATGACTGACGTTATGAACTATGAACTATAAGACATTGACTGTTTAGTTTGATTTTTTTTTTTTTAGCTAAAATGCTAAATTTTTTTTCTAACGTTAGGTAATGTGTTTAAAGATTTAGCCAGGGTTTGCTAAAGTATTATGTTTAATTTTAAATGATTGATTTGTATTGTCTCGTTTATATGATAACTGCTTATATGATTATGATTATGTGAAGGATTTAAGTTTGAAATGTTAATTGAATGTTACATTTTTTTAAATGAATAGGATTACTGAATTTATGTTGAAGTAATTTTAATTTAAAATGGTAAGAATTGGTTAATTAAGTTCGAAAATTTCATGAATGTTATTTTATTTTGTTTCAAGAAATGTTTATATATGTGGATTTGACAGGTCATTGAAAGACGCAATCAAATCTTTTCGAGGGGAGGTGTCATGACGTGATGACCACGCATGCGCAGTTTAGCCGAACGGCCTGCAACGCCTCTCTCTCATGAGACTTACTAGAGAAGAGTAGTTAGTAGGTAGTAGCGAAGTAACGAAGGAAATGTGTTGTATGTCAGCTTAGATGCAAGATACGAAGTGATACTTGTGTGTTCATCGTTTGTACTTATTATTTTTATTTGTGTGTTAATAAAGTTTTGTGCCGTTAAAATGGCTGTTTTATGCAACGCACACAATACGATACGTCTACGGTAGGAAGTAAATACATATCCAGAAGCTACACGCCCAAGAAAAAGAAGGATATGACAACAGATATGTTTAGCTACAGTTTCAAATCACTGAAATCCTTACAATCTTGACATTGTATCAAGTGAAACAATTACTCCAGGAATAATTTAAGCTATCCGCCTCCAATTATATATTAATTGGAAAGTAAATTATAAGATGATAATTTTAACATATTAGCCCTTCCAGAACCAGTTATTCCTTTCCTATGGATTTAGTATATGGCGTATCGCAAAAGATATAGTGTTTTAAAGTTGCAGTAATATTTTTAAAACAGCATTCTTCAATTGCATAATATCAAACCAAAATCTCACTATAAAGCTATAAAGGTTTATCCCGGGTCTAAAGTGACTACGAACCAGTTTATCTTAGATAATCCTGGCTGAAAGAATCCTTTCTAAGGTAGATAATCCTCGTTTGCTTTAACTTACTCAATTTATCTAGTTAGATAGCTGTTATCAGTAAAACAAAGATCAGTCGACCAACAATATTAGGCTCTAACTCTTACGTCACTTACACACAGAGGTAGGGAAAACGAAATATATTCAATATTCATTCCTAAATTGTTTTTCATATACCTCTTTAGCTCCCAGTATACAATTAAGAAGCTGTCGTACACAATGAGGGAATGCATGATTATAGAGAAGAATTTCTGGCTTATCGATTACATTACTTTCACAAAAAGGGATCATAGAAGCTACAGAATTAAACCGTCAGCCATCCAGGTTTTCAGAGGAAAATCAGAGTCAATTATTCGACAGAAATATGCTGAGGCTCTTATATGAAAACATGTGTATAGAAGACTGAATACTGAGAGCTTGATAAGGAAGTAAATTCACACGTAAAATTTATTAGCATCAAATTCAAAGAATAGGACCTGCATTATTAATTGCCATAATTAAACTTAATTTTACTTTTTAAAATTCCATAATAGACTGTATATATCCCATAATAGGGTGTATATATCCCATATTAGGTTCTATAATTTGCTAGTGGGTCAAACATCTATAAGTAAGTGAATAAAACAAATGTTACCAAATTTAGCATATTAGACTAAAGAAAACAAAGCAGAAATGAAAGAAACTGAAGATTTATTGCCTGCTACCCGAGAAAGATTACAGAAAAGATTTGAGTTCTTCCAGTGGGAATGCAAAAATGTATTTCAAATGAAGTAGAAAAATAATAAGAAAATGTAAAATAATTTTCTTAAATCTCAGTAGCTTTACTTCGATTATTAATAATGGAAGCTATTATTTCTAATCTATGTAAGACCGTCGGAGCTATGCCCTTGTCAAACTGCAATGAAGCAAATGCTAAAGAAAAGTAAATATTAAGACGTAACTTGAGTCGTCAATTCAATTATTTTAATTATATTCTAAATTAAATAAATTAATAAAGTTAGTTTAATTATTTCCTCTTTTTTATTATGCACTAAAATGCTATTTTTATTAAGCCCGTTCATTATTAATTCTGTAACAGAAAATTCTCCAAACACTAGCTCTTCTTATTTATCCCATATTTTCTTTTCAACAAAGCCATGTAGATAATAGGTAGGAGATGACTGCAGCAATTGTTGGTCATATACGTAATGATACTTTGGTGATTAGTAGAGCTTTATACAACAGATCGTACCATTTCCATCAGCAGCTCCCTTAGCAAAAAGAATCCGAGAATCTTACACTCTCTTCTCCTTACAACCACCAAGCGAAACAAGCGAAAGGATTTTATGGCCGTCATATTTTACAAGCTTCTATTCTTAACAGAAATGAAGATCATAAACATTCAAATCTTTGTACTGGCAACGTCCTCCATTGAACGCTATACCTACCAGGAAATTTAAATAAGCAATCTCTCTCATATAGTTCTAATGTAGAAATGAAAAACGTATTTTGAATATAATTACTAATTTGTTTCAGCTTTGAAAAACTGCTGTGACTGATTCAGGATACAGTATTAGGGAGAAAAAAACAGTCAAATGCTAATGATGTCAACAAATAAAGAAAAAACTTAAACTAAAGAATGATTGAAATATCTAATTGCATAAATCTGCAATACAAATATGCATTCTTAATAACATTTATAGTTTGAAAATGTATGTTGTAAAAAACTTAACGCTATTCAAAAAATGAAAACTGATGGCCTCGTATGAAAATATCAAGCTAATCTTTTTATAAATGAAATATACTCGTAATGTGATTTTTCTACGTAATCAGTTTTTGATTAAATAAAACTATGTAGTTTTTTTTTCTGATGAGCAATTTGTACTTTATTCTTAACTTAATAAAGTTACTTCTATAATCAACTGAGCATTTTAAATATGGTAGCATTCCAAATTATATCGAGTTGAAGACAAATGAAATTATTGATTATCACCCGACACAGAAACCTCAGTTTTTTCATCTGTTCTTTACTGTTACTGCAAAATACTAGATCTGGGGGACTGAAAAAGAAGACATAGAATTTTTATGCAGTTTATTTTAAAGCTATTTACATTTTTTCGAAATCAACGTAAAAATATCTTGTTCATACCGAGTTATTAAGAATTTTAAAAAAAGTAAATCTTGGATGATTTATTTTATGAATTCGACTTGGATACGACTTTTCAATTATTTTGAAAATGACCGGATATTATATTATTTATATAAAAATTCTTGTATTAATCATATGTAATTAGATAAATGTTTCATAATCGTTAAACTCAAAAATAAAATACTTTACCTCTTTATCAATATATAAATTATTACATGATATTACTAAAAGTACTTACTCAGGTTTTAGTACTAAAATATAATTTTTATTCTGTTTAACCAATTTGTAATATGAACAATGAACATATGTCTTACTTTGCAGAATTAGAATCAAAATTCTTATATGATGTCTGCTTAATTAAATACATGTTTACTGAAAGTTTAAAAAAATCTTACCTTTCCCTCTTGATATGAATTCTTATTAAAAATAAATGCAAGTACTTAATGAATCTATACATTTTACCACTTTTAATTCCTGCTGCTTAACTATGTAATTCAGTTCCATCAAATTAAAAATAAGGTATTTATTACATTTTCGTACTACTTACCAGCTCGTTTCCTTATATTGATATCTTAGAATTACAAAACGTCTTGAGCATTATTTTTTGCCATGCAATGGGTTGAGTCTTGTTTCGTACATAATAATAAAGGCTTAATAATTTTACTTGATAAGGCTTACTTAAGTTTGTCTTTGGCTTTTAAGTTACTAAGAATTTGAAAGAGCTTCAATATTCATTCCTAAACCTTTTTTGAGATAAAACATACCAAATTCTACAGTATTTATTGAAAAGCCACCATACAAGCTATTTTGCCAATAAATAAATGCTCATTTTAGAGGATGTTTGAGAAGATAGAATGGATGAGAAATTTGCAAAAGGAACACAAAAATGCATAAAAATATAATGAGTGAGAAAAAAAAAAGCATTTATATAATCACACATAATAAAATAAAGAAAAGAATAGAATCAATAGTTCTTCAAAATTAGAGTAACATTTTCTCGCAATTTAGAGCACTTCAGTGATAATGCATCTTCTTAAATTCCATTCATTATCATTATGTCATTCAGAAATAAACATGGTGTTATTATTTTTATAGCTTAAACCAAAATTTATTTGTACCCATTAATAAAAATGATTAAGTTCTATAATAGAAGAACTGTGTAAATACATCTGAATTGGAAAAATATGTTTTGATTCATTTTTCACAAATAAAGAAAATATTTCCTCTCAAATAATCTCTTTATTTAAACTGATTAACCAATTACTATTATTTTGCATTATGCATTAATGAAATATCCTTTACTTTTAAATTTGATGAAAATTAAAAAGCCAACCTGCATGATTATCGTTTCTTGGGAGCCTTTCGTCGAAAGCAGAAGAGAGAGTGACGACAGAAATTATCATGAGAATGAAGAACTCCATCGATGCGAAAGAAATCTTCATCGGTGATGAATCGCTTCTTGTGGTCATTGCGGCAGAGTGCAAAGTGAACTTTGAGCGCGTAAAACCTTGCTTTTAAAAGCTGTAGCCCGCGGCAGAAGACCAGGGGCTGCCACCTGTAAGGTGACGCAAGTTTCAGCGAGACTTCTCTGATTGGAGGAAAGACTCGAGTTTATGGTGGGGCCAATAGGGTAAACCAGATTAAACGATCCTCCTCCGCATCAGGATCAGAGATGGTGAGGGGGATGTTCATATCCTTTTCTTGAAGAGGACAAAGAAAACGAAATTGACAATCTAGTATTTCATGAGGATCTGGCTTGATTCTATTTCAGCTGCTAATTAGTTTATTTTCTAAATATAAAATATATATAATATATATAATATATATATATATATTAATTTTCTCTTGTTATAATTAAATTAAGAATTTTCAGGATTATTTTTGATTTACTGTATATTGAAAAACTTAGAAGAAAATCTTACTCAGTAAACATTTCTTTCATGACTTTTTTTTTACGTTAGAAGACTATAAGGTATTTACTCCCTTCTTTCTGCATGCCTTCGTGCTATAACAGTAGCGCACTCGGCGCGTAGGCGCTTATTCGAGAGGTCCAGGTTCGAGTCCCGGCGAGATCATTGCTCATTTTTCATGTCTTCTGCTTCAAATAACCTAATGATTCTACAGTGGCGCCCGAACTAAAAAAAAAAGGTGGTGGATGATAATTCCTCACCACCAGGATTTGGCAAATGGGTCCCCTAATCCCCAGTCGCCTTTTAAAAGGGGAGTATATAAGGTATTTTCTCCTTCCTTTCTGTGTGTCTTCGTGGTGTAACGATAGCACACTCACAGCGTATTCGAGAGGTCAAGGTTCGAGTCATGGTGAGGGCATTGCTCATTTTTCATGTACTCCAACTACAAAAAAAAAAAAAAAAAAAAATCCTAGTGACCCTGCAAGATAAATAAAAGTTGGGAACGTAACGTTTAGCCTCCTAATGCTGAAAATACGTAAAAACTGTTCGTTTAGTTACGAAATAATGCCTAAATAAATGTTAAATATGTTTACTGTATTTTTTTATTATTAAGTTAATATTTTAATAAGTTTAAACTAGCCATTTTAAACAAACAAAAAAAGTAAGAATTTCTGAAATTCGGTGGATTAATACTTTTGTAGGACTAACTTGCTGCAGCAAAGACCGTCAACATGACTATCACTATCCAACAGAATGCATTTTTTTTTTTTTTATTTTGTAAATTTTAAAGGAAATACCAGTTAAAATACAACGAGATTTTGATCTTATTTCGATGTGATGCTGCTCCAAGAGAAAAGGTTAAGTATTAGAATTTCTTTAACGAATTCTATGAAATAAGCATAATGGCAAATCAATGTATGTATGTCAAATTAATGTATTACATAAGCAGATCTAAGAAGTCAAAAATGTGAACTCTGTCTTTACTCTTTTATAACGATCTTAATTAATGGTTATTTAATATTAATGAAAAAGAATTTAAATTTCTAACATTTTTCGTAATAAAAAATACAAATCAGTAAAATAAACGTAAAAATCTTTTTAACTGAAAAATTTTATATTTATCGCCACTATGTGACAGAAACATAAAAAGAGGAAAAAGTAAAATCTAAAGTTAGCGAGAGATTAAGATCAACAATTAAAATAAATACAAGCCCAGTAAACTAAACAATTCGGCATCTAAATTTTTGTTACGAACACCGTATGCATGCTAACATATCTATCCATAAAAGTGTAGTTAGTGTATTTAAACTAAGAAAAGGTTCGGTTAGACTATTTTAGATTAGTTATTATGGCTAGGCAGTCGGGGACTGTCTATTGCAAAACATATGCCTCTGTGATGCATTTTTGACGATGCCTATGTGAAGATGTTCGTCAAACATCGAAAAGAAATTAGTTCGTATACATTATACATGGAGAATCTGAAATCTTTATACAGCCAATTTGTTTACTCACCAAGAACTGAACTAGGGAATAACTACTATCATTCAGAAATTTAGTCACTTTACCATTTGAGTGCAAATAAAAAAAGACTACATGAAAGACACATGTGGGTACAGTTTTAGAATGAAGCGAATCAGTAAATGCACATTCTAACAGTTTTATATCTGAAATAGAAAACTGTAAAATTCATCTGAAATTTTAATGAAAATGCTACATTATGTATGAAGAATACATTATAAACAGAAATGTTAAACAGATTAAGAAATTTTCAGCTGAATGCATCTTGGTGAGTATATTCGGTAAAAAAGAATCACTATTGTTAGTCCCCTGAGATTCAATTTCGAACAGCTTCGTGCAAATGAGAGCCCACCAGTGTCCGAGAGTGAAAGTCGCTGAACGCTGGTAGTACAGCCTGGGGTTCGAACCTGGCAAACGGGTTGGCTGCATGAGCGTTTCTCCACGTGTAACGTGTATAGGCGTCAGTTTACCTTAGAAATTTCTCTACGAAGGTATCCCTTCTCTTAGACAGATTATCCTCGAGTGCTTTGCCATAATCAAATAAACCAAACCAAACTTAATACAAATGGGACTCATGGCCATGAGTGATAGCGTCTAAGATCGCGTAGTACCGTAAGGTATTTCTCCCGCCTTCCTAGCGTGCCTTTGTGGTGTAGTGGTCAGCACACTGAGCCGGTATTTCAGAGGTCCGTGGTTCGATTCCCGGCGAAGACGTTGCTAATTTTTTATCTCTTCTGCTTCCAAAAATTACTAATGTCTCTATAGTGGCTCCCGAACTAAAAGGGTTGGGGATGATGACTCTCCACACCCGCGATTTGGCGATTGGGTCCCCTAAAACCCCCAGTCGCCCTTAAAAAGGGATGTAAGGTATTTCTCCCGCCTTCCTAGCGTGCCTTCGTGGTGTAGTGGTCAGCACACTGAGCCGGTATTTCAGTGGTCCGTGGTTCCATTCCCGGCGAAGGCGTTGCTAATTTTTCATCTCTTCTGCTTCCAAAAATTACTAATGTCTCTATAGTACTAGTGACCTATTCAATCGTCGCTGTGAAACACTAGAGTTAGTAATTCATGCCAAGCTCTCTCCAGGACGATTAAATAGTCTACTGGCATGGATTTTTTTCAGTTTCCCCTCGCGAAACGAAAATTCGGAGACTCTTTTCACAGATATAACTCAAAAAATCTAAAACTCTAATGTAATTTTCTATAAGTAAACAATCCAATCAATTAGAGTTACGTACTACAGAAAATTATTTGTTCATGTGTAAAAATGAATAAGAAAATACATAATATTAAGATAATTATTAATTATTAATATTAAGATTAGATACTATACCTAGATATCTTTTCATCTGAGGTGAAGAGGAAATACGCACTCCTATATGCAATTAAACTAACAATATTTGTACATTTTTATACTTAAAAATGTAACCGTATTAAATCAAAATATAATAATTCCTGTAACTCCTATATTATAACATAATTACAGCATAATTCAGGTATCATAGAATAATTTTATAGCATTGTTTAATCGTAGCTGTATTGATTCAGAAGAAGAATGCATATACTAATTTAAAATGAAAATGCTAAAATTGCTTTTGCGATAAATAGCGAATGATATTGAAATAATATAAAATATATTGCATTAATTTTCAAGCTTTTCTGTGACTTAATTTTTTTCTCTTTCAACAAATAAAAATTGATAATAATATTTTTACTTAATTCATGTTATATAGAAAAAACAACAAGTTAAAAATACGAGTATTATTAATACAATTTTCGAATTCCCGTATGTCTGAACCACTCCTTAATTCTAATTTCTGTCATCCTTAGAAGGTCTAATTTGTCATCCTTAAAGATCTGAATCATCCTTAAAAGGTCTAATTTACTTTAGTGACCAGAATTCTTGCAGCAAAGTAGTTTTTAAAACTAGATATTTCTGATGAATTTTTTGCAGCAGTTACATCATTTGGATATTTAATTGTCAAATTATAAACTGCTTCTTTTAAAATATCTGAATCTAATGTCACTAAATTTTAATCAGAATTTAAAAACCGGAATGGATGTCTTTTAATTTTTCATGTCTGCATGTAAGTTGTGAGATTAATATAACTATCATTTTTTCTATTTCTGCTACGAAATAATACTTTTCGAAAAATTGTTTTAGCAGTTTATTAATAGTCTAATTTATTGTCCTTTTCGTTTTTAAGTCTCGTCAGATTCTGTTGACATATCCATGTTACAGATATTTTTTATTTATCTCAAGAATATTTTTTCTCATTTTCTGTAAACGAAAAGGTAATTTTACAGTTACTTTTCATTTTACAGATTTTTTTACTTATTTCAAGAATATCCTTTCTCATTTTCTGTAAAGAAAAAGGTAATCGTTCTATTATGCTTGTTTCTTTAATACAGCAAAGCATACGAGTGTTACCAATGCTTTGTCGTAGTAAAGAAAATGCAAGGCATCTTTCCGTTGCGGAAGTTTTAATGAAAAACTGGCTCGCATTCACGACAAACGGGAAGAAATTATAGAAATGTCCATTAAGTTACACACTCGCCGAAATCTGAACCGGGTTCGAATTGTTAGTGTTCAGCTGCCTTATCCACCTGGTGGAACAGTTTGTGATTCCAGTTATTTCCAAAGAATCTAAGTTATTACCGGGTATTACTGCCTCTCTCTCCCATTTTTTTTTCTTCTAACTTAAATTCCTGTTTTGATAAAATTGTTAACAAAAGCTCTTATTTTAAATTTATTTTAATTTTAACTGCAGTTACTTTTCAGAATAATGTTTATTAATTTCAATACTTACCTATATTAAGAATACTCTTTTGTTCGAGTTCAATATTTTTTAAAAATCAGTGTTTTGTGATCTCTAATAATATCAGTTATCTTAAATTAGCTGAAACGGTTTGAGTTACTTCATTTACAATAAAATTCAAACTATTAAATCTTTTTCATTCTTTTGATAATAAACATTTCAAGAAAACTCTGAAAAGTTAGCCATGTCTTGCCTTATCTCTTTACTATCCAGTATTGACAGAAA